TTCACACATCTGAGAACATGCAATACTGTACCAGTATTAGAAATGGCAAACAATTATTTAAGCTGCAATACTGTATTTCACTTTTTATTCATTAAAGTTTTTGATGTTTGCATCAGACTTTTGACTTTCTGAAGCTGCTCTAAATCAAAACATCATATTATTAAGCTCTCCAAAAATTCATCACAAGTCAGTTTACAGATGACATTGATGTCTTATTGCTATCCATTCCTCCTGGACCATTTCTAACAATTCATTTTTTATATTCCTGCAGTGCTGAAATATGGTTCACACCAATAGCTGTCCTTTTAGTAATCACCAAAGCAAAGCTTGGCAGTTGTCATATATTGCACTCTTGAGAAAAATGCTAGTAATACTCTGAATTGATTGAACAGCCTGGAATCAGAACTAGCTGGCAGAGAAACCATTTAACTGATTTCAATTCATAAATCTCTTCTCTCCCATCTTATTTTAGTTTAGAAACTGCTAAATATTGCCATTATCTTGTGATGCCTAGAATGAACCAATTATTTATAAAGATATTAATTTAAATAATATGTGACTGCACTCATTAATACCCATATGAGGAGGCAGACTTATGGATCTTACTGAGTAACTTTCATTTATGCACACTGAGCTAGAGAATGTATGTAATAGTCTTCAGCCAGCAGACATCGATTTGTTATTTCCCCAGAGGTCAACATCAGGTACAATGTCCTTCCCTGTCTTAAAGGGATTTTAAACAGAACTTTACCTGCTTTAAACAACAATTTAAGTCCTTGAGCATGACCCTAAAATGATTAGTAAGACAATTGCTTACATGACAAGGTTTAATTAACCGTCAGGCATGCACTTAGCGTCTAAAGCAAATACTGTTACTTAACATGTTTTTAGGCGGAGAAGAAAGAAGTATGGCTAAGAACTGTAGTTCAGCCTTAAAGAATTTTGGAAACATAGCTCTTGAATTTAAGTCCAAAGAGAATGAGGAGATCAAAGGCAGCTGGATGAATTTTGGGGGAGTCAAGGCAGAGCTCTTGGAGCAGAAAGACTGCCAGCACTGGTGAATGGAGGAAGAAAGCCCAGCAGAGAACTAGCACAGTGGAAACTGAGGTGGTTTATTCACCCTCTACTATCATCCATGACAGTCTGGAAATCATAGAGTGGTTTGGGTTGGAAGGGACCTTAAAGCTCATCCAGTTCCAACACCCTGCCACAGGCAGGGACACCTTCCACTAGAGCAGGTTGCTCAAAGCCTCATCTGAAACCCATAGTGCTTGCAGCCTAAATGTCACTCAACTACACTGGTCTGTCAGTAGAGTCATTCTGTTGTCCTGTTGCTGACTGTCTTGGTGCTTATTTGAATCCAAAGAAAAAACCCAGAGGAAATGTGTTTTCCTGTGTGCCAGAGTGGAGGAGTGTGATTTGCATATTAGTAAGAGTTTGTATTGTTTATTAAGAAGGACTGTTTATCTGAAATGGGCTGCATGTTAAATTCACTAGAATTGGTAATCAAGAGACAAAGCTGGGCCTGAGAGAGAACTGAAACTTGGGGAGTTTCCTCAAAAGCAGCATTTCTTCTGGGGAATTTATCTGTGTGTAAACTCATTAAACCTCTTGTGCTGAGATTCTGGATCTTGAAATCCAATTATCTGTATCAATGATAGTCAGCCTTCAGGACCCGAGCAGCCACTTTCTCAGGAAATGGAGAGGCACAAACATACAAAATAACAGCACAATTTAGAATAACATCTGATGGTGCTGGAATCGTAAATCGCATGACCCGATACCACCCTGCAATCTTTGGACAGCACACAAAGCAATGTATTACTGCTCACTGGAACGTTAGTGTGAAGAACTGGATCAAAGAAGTGTAAGTATTTGTCAGATTGCTGCCAATCCTTTTGCTCCTAAGTGGAATGGGGAGAATTGTCTTCTCAGCCTCAGATCAGAAGTGACTATTAAGTCACCGGGCCCCAGGCTACTTTTCTCCCCTTGTAGGCTGCAGTGTAGGAAAACAGTGATGTTGTCCTTTATACTTTCCGTTCAGACCACTCCTTTTCTATAGGAACAAGAAAATTACTACTTTATTTCCAACTGGTCAAAAAAAATGTAGGATAGTCTCAGTCTGGTTTACTATAATGCCTTCCATTACTAATATTGAAATAAAATAAACTCTTATTATGGAATCGGTTAGAAAGGTATGTGCTTATTAAGGTGGAATCTTTGGTCATAAATTCTGTGATGGAATGGTTTGGAACAGTTGTGGTCTACTGAGGTGGAAACTGAGAACTAAACAGATAACTGGCTTACAGAAATTAAGCAATGCTTCCCCCACCACCACCACCCTTAATAAAGGCTGAAAAGAAATGAGTGGTCAGGAATGAACGAGTCAGGAGGAAGTATTAAGGCAGTGATTGTATCACTCAGATATGTGTTATCTCTCCAGACTGGCCTTTTGATTCTGCTCCTGTGGGTGAACCCCTTGTGTTCCTTCTTAAGTTAATTTCAAAAGTGAAGCAGCACACAAAGCAGAAATGTTGTTTTCAGAAATGACTATTTGAGTTTTGAAGCTGAAATAAACCTGAGTTCTACTTCAATAGCAAAACATTTTGTTAAAAATCTGAAGTTACTGTGCCAAAAGCAACTGTACTGTTTCCTTCCATCAAGCTGTCTCTTAAGGCTTGACTCTCCTCCCAGCTCCATTTTCAAGAGAGGTGTGTAATTTTGACTCTGTGTGCAAGTAGCTGTCTCTCTTGTTCACTGTGCATGGAAGCTAGCTTATTATAACTTTGATTTGAAACTGTATCAAATCCCTTTTTTATTTATTCACCATGTTTCTTAGGATCAGTTCCATAAAATCCTTTCATGTACAGCATAATCACAGTTAAGTCTTGTCTAAGAAATTCCCTGGCTGCTATATCAATTGGTTCATTGCCCTGAAAACTGAAGTGCTTCAGCCCATATGAAACACACCTCCATTTTTAACATATAAAAAAACATTACCAAAAAAGTGAACACAAATACACCACCTGCCAAATCAAATCCCCACTGAAGCCTCAACTATGAGCAAAGAATTTGTTTAAGGCATTCAAACTGCAATCTTCTTAAAGGAGAATTTTGATTCCATCATTTCAGAAACCTCTCTAAAACAGATGAAGCACAACTAGAACAAATCCTGTTCTTGTAACATAATAGAAGCAGGATAACATTTATGAGTGTGGTAAGAACACCTCATTACTGATGGAGCATCTTCCAGGTTATCGGTGCCCCTATATTTTATTAATAAGCAGACATTTGCTTCACCCTCAGCTGGTACAAGAAACAGCTGAAGTCTTAGAACTGCTAAAGACATAAAATATTCTGAAACACCTGGCTTTGACTCACTGACAACTTCCATTTGCTTTTGTTCTTGACTGTCATAGTGTCACACTGTAATTTATAAATAATGGGAAAATTTCCACTGTTACATAAATAGGCAGAGTTGATAAAACTCTATTTTGTATCAAAATGAGAAACCTCAATGCATATCAGTTTAAAAACCAAAACGTACATATTACCCTGAAATTTGGGCCATCGTTGGAAGCATTCCTGTCCTTCAGTAAGTAATACCACCATTTGATCATTTCCATTGATAATGATGTATGTGCACATGTACCAGCAGAACCTCAATGGGAAGTACAGAGCACATTCCTAGCATGCTTTTTCCAGCAGAAATCTCATTTGTCAAGACAACAGGAGAAGAGAAACCATTTTGGAATAACCTTCTGTTAGAGTCTTTTGCTTTCTGCAGTGTTGTAAGCCACAATGCCTTTTCATCTGCATTGTTGTGTATTACAGGTTTAATAAAAGAGAACTGCCTGCATGGAATAAGAAACAAAATATTTAAAATCCCCTTTTAAGCAACGCCCCCATAAGGGAAACAACACAAACCCACAATGATCTAATGGCTATTTCCAAGAGTGCCAACAGCTTCAAGATGTTTTTTTATGTTATGAAGTAATTTTAGAATTGAAAAGTATCAGCCCTTCAGTTGAATAAAGAAAGTGGGGATAACTTAGTTTTTTGAGGAGTGTCCTAGCCTAGAAGCTGATGTTCCCAAACCACAAGTAGACACATTATTTAATGCAGAATGACTCTGTTTTCATTCCTTGGTTCATCAAGATACACTTTCTAAACCTGGGTAACAAGGTTCTATATACATGATTTAAAAATATTATTGGTCAGAAATAGTGGTTAAAAAACTAGTCAGGAGCAGCAGCCACTTTTCAACAGGAAATTGCCATGCTGATTTTAGATGAGCAAGATAGTCTTTGCTAACCCAACATTTCCATCTGATGTGATATCCTTGAAGATTTACATATGACCTATTAAAACAAACGTTGCCATTTGGTTTTCTAATTAATATGTGAGATGTCCAATAAAAACATTCTTATAATGAGTGCAAATATGCTCTAAATAACATAGATACTAGATTACATTTTGAACATATCTGTCTGCTATCCCATGCTGAGATATGTATCTCATAGTTCCTTTTATTTCATAACATAAAGAGGCTCATTCATCCCTTCCTACCCCTTAATGTTATGGCACTGCGATGCCATCCTGATTGAGATGACTAAAAGAAGGTCTCAGCCATCTTAAATAACCTGGTCCGTTCCAACCTGGTATTTTTATGATTTTGGAATAGCACCTTTAAAATGCTACTTGGATGAACATCAACTTTAATTATAAACATTGAGTTTCTAAGTGAGATGCTATTCTTCCAGACAGCAGAGTTTCAAGTAATGGTTAATATGAAAATATGAATACATGCTAGAAGACAGCTAAAAAGGTGCAGTTGCTCTAGCAGCGATGAAATCGTGTGATTTACAAAACACTATGCTGTTATTCTGCCTTGCAGCTGACTGAGATAAAAGTGTAAATGCTTTAGAAACATAAAATATAACAAATGTTTTAAGTCTTGTAACTTCTTGGTTTATACCAGAGCATGATAGAATACATACCTTTCTTCCCCCTGTGTTTATGCGAAGTGGAGTTAGGAAGGGATCAAAAATCATATGGCTGGTTTCAATATTGACAGGAGACTGTCTTTTCCCAACAGAGCAAAGATTCCAAGCTGAGTTCACCAAGCCCCAAAAGGAGGGAACTGCAAAATATAAAGAAGTGCAGGTTTAAGAAGTCTGGAAAGACAAGAGAAATACACACAGGGCAGATGGCCAGATGATTAAAGTTGTCATATTGTCTGCACACATACACTGAAACTGAAAACAGGCAAATTCATCTAGTACTTGAAATGTAAAACTTCAGACATAAAGACCAAAACATGTTGTTTCATATAGTTTTGTATCAATATAGAAAGTTGTCTGGTTTTGGTTTTTTCTTTCTCTTTTGAATGTACCTAGGTATAATCCCACATTCAATTATAAATAGCTCCTTTCCTGTGAGTATTAGAGAATATTTACTAAGCCACAGGAATGTGACTCATTAGTCCTTTTGCTGATTTTGCACACGTTCAACGTGTCCTTGGACATCCCATTCTACTCCACTTTTTGAAAAGTCTTCATATTTCCAAGAAATTATTAAAACCCTCAGCATTATTATAAGAGAAACTCACACGCTGTGTTCCCAGGGAACAGGCCTGCTCTCTAGACAGGTTTTACTGATTTCTGTTCCATTCACCCAAACCTTTCTTTAGTCAAAGTTTTGGTCTAAAACAAATCATAGAAATCTTGTTGGAAAAGCCATACTCTGGTGGTGAAGGATAGTTCCTTCCCTGCACGTGCTTGGAACATGGAGCTGAGTTACTTTCTGTACCCCTAACTGGAAAAAAAATGTGCTGTAACTGTACTTCTTCTTATCAGGTACCTGCAGGCTGAAAGTTATATTGCATCTGACCTGCAATTTATAGACCAGTACAACCTGAACTTCTCTTGGGTGCTGAAAAAAATTCTTACTAAATGAGTAAAGAGCAACTAACAAGATACACAAAGGACACATTTAGATTTGTGTCTGTACACTCTGTCCCTGTCTAAAGCGTGTAAGGCAACTTTGTCTTTATCAGAATTATTCTGCAGTTTTATGTGGCAGGTGGAAACTTCAATGATGCAAATGTTGATGCCTTTTTTGTCTTCATATTATTCTTTTTACATGCTGCTAGAAGTTTTCATAACCTTTATCCTCAAAGCATTCTTCTACTTTACAAACTGTGTGACAAAGTCTGTAGATCCAGGCTGGGGAAGGGGCTGTGCCTGAGTTCCCTGGACAGTGGCTCAGGTGTTTTGCCCAGAGGGTAGAGCTGAAAACAACCCATCAGCTGCTCATTAAAAGCTTTTTGGGTGCCGTAGCTGGTTGTGTGCAGGGTTCTGCGGTGTGATGTCTTGGTTCTGCTTATAGTGTTTTGCTACTCTAGTTGGAGCCATGTAGGGGTTTTGGCTGCATTTGAACCTCTGGGCTGTAGTAGACGTAACCCATTGGGAAGATGTTCCTTGGAGGAGAGATAGGTGGAAATGGTTGTTCTTGGTGAGTGTTTTCCTATCAAATTTTAAAGAACAATTCAGTTCTTTTTGCCCTCAAAGTTTGAGTGTAGTCAGGTGTAAAACTTTGGTTGGGTTAATGTATAGCTTTATATAAGTTTTCTACAAAAGTAGTTAAATGTTAGGGCTCTTTTTAGGCTATGGCTTGTAAGGCAAAACTTCAGCATTAATGTCTACACGGAAGTGATGGAAGTGTTTTGCAGTTGTTGGTATCTGCCTACACCAGAGGCTTATAAGCTGTTGTCCACAGATACTACTTCTATTACTAAATATCTGAAAACTCAGTTTTTGGCAGAAGCTTTTTCCCTTCTGCGCTGGCCTGTCTGTGCATCTACAGGTCTACACGTGCAGGTGAACACAAGAAGCCCTGCAGGGATCCGAGCAGTACAGCCATAACTGACATGTTACAGCTAGCAAACTTAGTTTCCTTGCATGCAGTTTTGAAGTGAACATGTCTTACTAATACCTTTAATTCACCAGTGGAATATCTTTTCTTAACACCTGACATGGACAATCAAATCAGCTCACATGCAAAGCCCCAAATGGGTAACTACTCTTTGTATGTGCTGCAGGAAATCTGGGAGGAGGGATCATAGTGTAATGCTCTATGGCTCTGGGAAAGCAAAGACCAGGGAATAACACCCCAAATGGCTAAAATTGCAGATGCCCACATCAAATTATGGTAGTCTTTTATATGACTAACAAACTCTGTGCGCATCCACCCCATAGAAGGTCAGATGGAAGGCCTTTAAAGTAAGCAAAGCTTTGTGTGATAAGGAAAATGAACAGGAGGTATGGTCTTAAAAATTTATTTGGCTCCTCTGTTTATCCTACCAGTGAATTCCCACTTCCCCTGGAGAACTGAAAAACTATACACATTCCCAGAGTGTGCTAACTAATAGTGCTAATGCTTTGAAATGGGGGGAAAAAAGCAATGTTAGTGCAATTAAAAATAAAGCAGAGCATGCTTAATTATTTGTGCTTTTTCTTCAGAGAAATACCAGAGGATCTTCAGTTTCTGTCAGAGAAAATCCCTGTTTATGCAGAAGCCTAAAATAAAAGTCTAGGTTAATTGAGACAGCCTGCTTTTCCTGGATAAATCCCCCTGTGTTGTTATTAAAAGAAGATAAATAAATGATAAAAATAAACGAATGATGAAACTGTAGAGTTGTAGGTTCAAGAGGGAAAACATTAAAAGGGAAATCTGTGGCTTGAATGGTTTCCAGTATCATTAAAAAAATCTTAATATTGGTAAAACAATTCTTTCGCAAGCTTTTTAAAAATAAATAAACCAACTAGATCTGGTAAGTGCAATAAAATGGCAAATCTAAAAGGTCAGTCCCTTATCTTTAAGTTCCTATTAGTTGAAGAATTTATGTTGTAAATGGGATTGTCCAGAAAAGCTGCACTGGAAAATAGCTGCTATGAGGGGATCACAGATTGTTTTGTGTTGGAAGGGACCTTAAAGCTCATCCAGTTCCAACCCCCTCCCACGGGCAGGGACACCTTCCACTAGAGCAGGTTGCTCCAAGCCCCTGTGTCCAACCTGGCCTTGAACACTGCCAGGGATGGAGCATTTACCACTGCTCTGGGCACCCTGTGCCAGTGCCTCACCCCCCTCACAGTAAAGAACTTCCTCCTTAAGGAAAGTCTATCTCTTGTGAGATATACCTACAGAATCCCTTCCTGTTATCTTTGACATCCCTGGCAGGACTCAATTCTAACTGGGCCTTACCTTTCCTAAGTTGATCCCTAACTTCCTGGCCAATGTTCCTGTATTCTTCCCAGGCCATCTATCCTTGCTTCCACCTTCTATAAGCGTCCTTTTTCATTCTGAGTTTTCTCAGCAGCTCCTTTATCCACCCACGGAGGCCTCCTGGCCTTTTTGCCCCATTTCCTTCTTGTCAGGATGTTTTACAGTGGTATTTCTGGTTTTGACAGGGAGCCCTTGCATTCTGTGCAGTGCCTGTCACACCAGCCGAGCACCTGGAAATCAAGGAGGAGGAGCCCCAATACTGCGCTGCTGCGCTGCAAAGGTTACACTTGTCACCCAAACACGTAAGTCTGTGCTGCAGTCTTTGATTCCTTATACACCTAGAGGAGCTCATGCTAAGAATGTCTCCAGTTTGTGCTTGTTGCTGGCTCTGTTATGTCTGGTTAGACAAAAAGGAGGTATAGAAACTGAAAACTTATCCCAGTGATCGGAATGACTTTGCTTCTGCTTCAGCTGAAGGTTAATTAAGGATGACTGACCTCTGACTGCGCACCTAAGTTAACTAGTGGATGGGGATATTATGCAATATTAATATCTGATTACGTTTAATTAAAGTAATTAGTGCTGCCGCTTAGATGCGCAAAGTAATAGAAAAGTATTCAGAACCATAATGGAAAAATCCAAGGAGGCTTCATGTAGGAAACCAAGGCTTAAATTAAGCACATGGACTTAGTTAACTGTTTAGTCTGAAGAAATTAGTGCATTGAACACAGGAAAACGTATTAAAATACACATGATTCCAGCCTAGCTAACGGACATGAGTCAACTAAAGGCCAAGTCATTAATGAAACGGTATCTCACTCCCCACGATTATGTTGTGTTTCCATTAAAATCTAGTTATGAATAAATGGGAATATGCTGCATCTCTGTGTGTGAACCTCTGAAGCACTTTAAGCAGAAGCCTGGCTTCTGAACTGTGCAGGAACTAGTTGGCATGCAGTTTACAATCTCATTTAACATGGTTCTCTAGCTACTGGTTATACTACCAAAAGTTTCTCTATACTGATCATGTCATCTCTGCCTTTGTCTATAAATCCCCCTAAATTTATACTGCCTGAGAGCCGATTTGTTGCAAACATGTTACATAGAAATAAGGTGATAAGTTTTTGGCTGATCATTGTCATGCCTTCCACCATCTCATAACAGAGAGAAAATTTGATAAATCCAAACTTTATTTCCTCTATTTGTTGGCATATGACAGACAAGAGACTTTGTGTGATACGATGAGGGGATTGCTTATATTTTATACCTATACAAAAATCTCCATTGTCCTTATTCAGCCTCTATCTTATTGCAGCTGCTCTTTATTTTTTTTCAATTTACTAGAAACAATTTATATTGAGATATATGAAGATGCTCTAGTATCAGCATGACACAAGAGAGTGAGGGATTCTGATGGCTTTTACCAAACCTATGCATAACAACAGTGAAATAAGAGCAGCTAGAAGAATAAAGCAAAGATTGAATGCTATTCTCCTAGTGATGAGTATCAAGGATTTGTCAAAATAAACACAAGCTTCCCCTCTCCAGAGAAAAGCAGTAAGTGAACCCTGTCCTTTAAAGATGCCCTTCTGTGGGTACAGCATACTTGCACTTAAGCATAATAGCACTGTCTGTAGTGTGTGCTGATGGACATGTATCAGTCTGCATCCACGCTGGGAGAGGAGGCTGTAGTTTTCCCAGTATGGGATCAGAGGTGCATGCTGTGTACATCTTACTGACTTCATCTTAGAAATAAAATGGTGCTGGACTCAAAGGTCCAGGTCATGAAAGGGTTGTGGATGGTTAAGTGGTGTCTCCTATAACTCATCTGGCTGTTGAGGGGTTTTTTATATAAAA